TGGGGGGCGGGGGGTGGGGCACACGGCCATGCCCATCTGGGACCAAACAGGGGATGTCGCTGGCAGTCCCCAGACCAGGCCCAAAGCCCCAGGCTTTGCAAGCCCTGTGGTGTCTTCAACAGGCTGATCAGAAACCCTGTGGCCCAGCATAAACCGGCCCGAAGGATCCTGCGGAGCCCTGCAGCTTGGAACCAGCTTCCTCCTCCGCAGGGAGAGGCCTAGCTTCACACGGATGCTGGAAGCAGGAGGCCCTGGGAGGCTTTCCGGCACCTGTGTCTCCTCCTTGGGGAAGCATCTGGTCACCCGCCTGCTGGCTCATCCCCAGCTGGGGCAAGTCTCACAGCAGACCTGCGAGACCCATTTTCACCCTAAAAGGCACATACGAGGTACCTATTATGTTCCAGGCCTGGAGCTCACAGGAGTCACAAGACTAGATAGGGGTAAGACAGGGGTCAGAGAGGCTGGAAATGACCTCTACAGTCCGATGGATGGAATTCAGCGGGTCTTTGAACTGCGGATGGAGAAAAAAGTCATATCTTTACTTTTGCTAACCTCTAGCTGAAATGTTGGTGATGAAAAAAGGTGATGATTTCCTGGTCTGTGGGAAGCAAGCTGTAGTTCCTACCACGGAGAGGTGCAGGGGAGCTGGGGATTCGAACAAAAGTGAGGGGGAGATAGGCAATGTGAGGAAATCAGGGTGGGCTTCCTGGAGATGTCAGTGTTTCCTGGAAGGTCCCAAGAACTGCTTCATTCTGGAACTACTTCATAAGGCACTCGGGGCTCCAGAGTTCTCTGCTGGGCCCCAACAAAGCACTTTCCTGAGTTTCTAGCTTCGAAAGGAGGTAGGGAGTAGCTAAACTCTAAGGCCCTAGAGAGATTCTAAATAAGAGGGGGTTGGCAGGGCCCCTGCATCTGGACCTCACGTCCGTCAGCCCTTCTGCCCCAGGCCAATCCTGCCTGTGCCTGGGCAGACAGCCAGCTCCTCCTCAGCATGTTCATACCAGCTTGTCTCCTGCGCAGAAGGAACAGCAGAGGTGAGACAAGAGATGCGGGCTGGCATTCTGGGCCTCCGTTATCAGCTCAGTGCTCCCGGCCATGTCCCGTCTCCTCTTTGGGCCTCATTTGTCACCTGTAAAATAATAAAGCCCGCTGCCATTTACAGAGTGATGATGCTGCACAGCAGCCTGCAAACGCTAGACCTGCATCATCTCCCTTAATCTTTGCACCCCCTCACACGCCCAAGAAAGGACCAGTCTCACGTTCCTGGCCAGGCCCTTAGCCGAACCAAGTGATGCAAAACGTAGGGGAGGCAGTCGGGATTCCCCACTGAAGCCTGTCTGTCTGACCTGCCGCTGAGGCTTCCAGACAGGCCTTTCGAGAAGACCTGGAGAGAACTGGGTCCAAAATGTCCTGGCAAAATACAAAGGTACCCCGAGCAGAGCAGTGCTGCCCAGAGCAGGTCCTATGACGACACCA